CTGCTTCTGATGAGTTCTGGCCATTTTTAAGCACATATTTTATTTAAAGATTTGCTTTTTTTTGGAAAACGTAGCTTGATGGAACAAGTGGATTTTCATGTAAAACAAAAACCAAACAAACAAAAAAACCCCAACCTGGGTCTGATGCAAAATTTGTGTTCTCTTGGGAAAACCTCAAAAGAGGACTTTTGTTTTCTGGTAACATTTGAAAGTTAAATATTACTTTCCAAACTAAGCATTGAATCAAAATATTTTAAATTTGTATTGATATCAAGGTAATATTTTGGAATTAACTTTCCCCAGGGAAACAAATCTTTGTTTCAGCAGAAGTTGCTGCCATCTTAAATGTGTCACTGACTAGTAGATCAGACTGCCTAGATAGGTAGGAGCAATGAAATGGAAACAGTGAAGCTCCTTGAGATTCTTCCCCTGCACATGCATCGCGTAGGACTTCGAGTTGGTTCTTTGAGCGCTTAAAAACCTACTCATTGCCCCACTGGCCTGTAAAGGTGCTCCTGGTGCAAACACCCTTATGCTGGGAAAGAGGGAGATTGCCTCAGACCTCCTTGACAGCGCTGGTGGTAGATGCCCCAAGCCTGGCAGTGTTTAAGAGGCAGTTGGACGGTGCCCTTAACAACATGCTTTAACTTTTGGTCCGCCCTGGAGGGGTCAGACTAGATGATCCTCGTAGGTCCCTTCCAACTGGAACTATTCTGTAGTATTCTGTTCTAAGTTAAATGGAGAGTTGAGAAACCAGTCCTGAGTCATTGCTTATGCAAGTATTATGCTCCCAGCGTACTTGTGTACTTGAAGGTTTCACGTTTCTGCCCCTTCTTCTCTTCTCTCCCTTCAGAAAACAAGAAGAGCGGGTGCAACAAGTGCGTAAAAAACTGGAGGAAGCACTAATGGCAGACATTTTGTCACGAGCGGCTGATACAACAAAAGATATAGATGTAGAAATGGATAATGGAGATGAAGCATAAAAAGAAATCAGGTGAGTTGGATCTCCCGGAGGCACACTCTGAGATGTACCTCTCTCAGCTGCGGACAGTCACTCAGCAGTCATTCGATGGACAGTAGCGTATCACACATGTGCGCTCCTGCTTTCTTCCTGCACCTATGGTACCTGACATGCCCTATAGCAGCACAAAAATAGGGTGATTTTGCATATATAGACACGAACATCCTCACACTAAGTGCTACACCCATCACCAGGGAGGAAAAAACACTGTTTTTCATCCTTTACAGCAAAGACCCAGTCTCTGGAAACCATTGCAGGTATATTTTCTGGCACTTAATACTTGATGTGAAACTGGGGTTAAAGCAATCAAAGCAACTGGCCTTTTTCTGTTCTTCAAAATTTAATTTAGTAAAATTACCTAACAAGTTCCTGAAACTTTTCTATTTATTTTTAAATGGATAATACCTTTACAAATTAATTTTCCAAGGCATCGTCTTGTATTTTCTACCTGTTTTCAGTACAGATCTGTGGATTTGCCAAACGCTTTCTTAAAAAAATATTATATTTTTTTAAAATCATCTGCAGAAGAGCAGTAGTTCATTCTCTAGTTCCCATTGTACTCGTAGTGCTCATATATGAAAGTGCACAGCTTTGAGGTCTGACCTTTTCTTAAGGAGTTAGCTGAAGTTTTAAGAACCAGGAATTCTGTCTGGAGATGGTTGTGTAATTTTGAAGGAATTCACTCCAGAACAAAAAATAAAAATAAAAATTGAGTGGCCCCGGGGGAAAGAATATATATATATTTCCCATTTGACAGGTATAAAGAGTTAACTTTTACACAACTACGAATACTATACTCGGGTAACTTGTAGACGTGGGATGGAAGTTTCCAAGCTGTGTCCTGCTTTAACACGGCTGCTGAACGTTCCAACTGGAATTCAACCCAGAGTGTAGAGCGGTAATTCAGTGGCATTTTGCTCCCCCCCCGCCCCATATGAAGAATATAAACTTGGTGCACCCAACAGCCAGATGTTATTTTTGCCCTCGCTATCTGGACTGCGCGCTAGGTTACCGCTTCAGATACAACAGATGTGTTGCTTGAGTAAATTCTTATAATTAGAAACAGAATGTATTTATAATGTACCCACCAGCCCCTGGATAGTCATGTTTCTAAGGCACAGTCGTTTTTATTACCTGTAGCGTCAGTGCAACATAAAGGGAAATTTGATCTTTAAGTTGTGGACAAGAGCTCTTTGCCAGTGTTGTTTACTGGCTGCTTAACAGGCCAGTCATCTTGATGTTTTCCAGGCTACTGGAATCTTTTAATTACTTGAAATTACAGCTATTTACTATTAAACTCTTAATCCCCGAGTATTTCTCCTATAAAAGTCTAATTATGGATAAATTTTAAGGAAGTCGAGAAAGAATGTTGTTTTAAGATGCGAGATTTCCAACCTTTGCCATTTTAGAAGCAAATTGTCATTTTGCATTTTTTTAATTTGCAGCAAATAATTCTTTTGTAATGGAGTCATAAATCTATTTGTAGAAGCGGTTGGTTTTGCACGGGTACTGTGGTTCTCTGCAGAACTCAGTTGGATGAGTAGACCTGCAGTTTCATCAACCTGTGAGCTCGTTACCTATTTGCATGTACATGTAAATGTACACAGGTTGGCTATATTCTATAAAATGGCTTTTTTTGCCCTAGTGGTTTTAATTATAGACTCGAACAAGATTTTTGAGTAAGCGGATTAGTTAATGTAAAATAGCTTGAAGGACGCGAGGTGTTTTTTTTTCCTTTATACAGACTAATGTTCCAGTATGATCTTTTTATATTAAGAAACTTTTCGTGTAGCCATTACGCTGTATTTAAAGAACAAGGATTCAGCAAGCGATTTGAGGCAGAAGCCGGGGTAATGTGCTGGAAGAGGCTGGATGTTAAAAGCATGTTATGTACATGGGTTGTGTTTAACGACAAAGTAACGGGGCATCTGTGGGACTCTTAACAACTGAGCAGCTACTTACATTGTATTAATTTTTTGTTACCCGCTTATGAACTATTTATGGTGTTCTCTTCATGTGGAACTGAAGCGCAGCTATAACTGCTCCCGCAAAGGCGTTCTAATTGCTGCAACCATCAGCCTGTACTCTTCCAAAAGGGGTTCTTTCTTTCTTTCTCTTTTCCAGGTACTTTTAACTGACTTATCCCAGGAGGAACTTCCTAAAAGACAGAGGCACTTTCTCCTTCGGTCTTTCGTTATAAGAAGAAACGGACCCATGCACATTTATATAGCTTTCTAATAGCATTAAAACCAATGCCTTTTTTAGACTCCTATTTTTTGATGTATATATCTTATTTGAAAAGCAACTTTATTTTGTGTCCTATGACTTAAAGTCCTTTTTTAAGTATCGAACATTACCCTTAATCTAAAGCTGAGCTTATGATGCCAGGTTGCAAACCTACTGGAATTATATTGCCTGTACTAAATATTTGTTTTTCCTGTGGTTTTTGGTAAGGATGGCTCAGGAGAACAGAATGATTTCCCAATTAAAGATTATTGTGACTCTGTATATAAACAGATTTTTATACCTATGGGTGAGAACACCTGTACATTCTTCCGTCATCACTGTAAAGATAAATAAATGATTATATTCCAAGCAGTTGAAAACTTGTTGTGTCGTGGAGAACGTCCTTGCTCGTATTTCAGTGTTCCCTTGGCCAGACCCAGGCGGCTCTCGGCGAGGACTGTCTTTGCCCAGAGCGCTGCCTTAGGAAATCTGTCTGAACTCGGGAGCTGTTGTGGATTTTTTTTCAGCTGAGGTGAAGTCCCATTGCCTGTTTCCTCTGCAAAAGAAGACTGCTAAAAAGAAGTAGCCAGCATGACTTTACAGACTTCTGCTTTGAGGCCAAAGTGGGACTGTAAAGAAAGCGTCTTCAGCGCAGAATGCAGCACTTGGGCTTGTTCCTCCCTACCCAGGCAGAGCAGTGGGGACGTCAGGATGCGCTATGGCACTGCAGAGGCTTCTGGCGAGTGAGTTGGGTCTTGCACAGTCAGTCAGAAAACTCAGAAATAACAAAAAAACCTGAGCAGTCTTCCCCGGAGACTTAAAGACTAAATTGCCTGGCAGGTCAGAGTAGGTCCAAGGTTGGAATAACGTCTGCTTCTCCACCACCGGTATGGTACCGCACTGCTCTGCCGCCCGCAGTGGGGGAGCTTTGCCGTCGTCTCCCGCAGCTCTCTTCTGTCCGCACAATATTGGTCCCAAGTGGGAGAACGGAGAGACAGGTGATCTCACTGCGGGATTTCCTGGGATGGGTGCGGGCTGGGAATTGAGAGAAATTGTCATGTTTCTGAAGTAGCTTCCTTCTGTTTATAACTGGGCAGAATAAAAGAGAATAATGCGTCTGGTCTTTTCCAGCCCGGTCACAGACTGGGGAGCGATCAAACTCACTCCTCAAGAAAGGAATGGAGCCTGTTACTAACAGGCTTCTCTGAAATTGGAATGAAGCTATTGTCCCAACAAATTGTTGTTATTTCTTTAATTTTGTGAAGGTGAAAGGCCAGGTTGGATGCCCTCGGGGCCCAGGGGGGGGTCTGTCCTGGCCCGGCACTGCGTGTCCAGGCTGTTGTTTTATTTCTTAATTATATCTCTTCTCACTTTTTTTAGTGATTAACCACTGAAGGTAGCCAAAAAGCCTTGGGGTAAGAAAATGCTTCTCTTTTTTTTTACTGGAAAGATGTTCTCTGTCAAAACGAGACAGCTTTGTGTTAAAACCCAAGAAGTTTCCAAAGTTTGGACTCAAATTGGACAAAAGAATTTCCACTAATGCTTTCATCGCCTTTCTGTCCAAATTGGGGTTCTGATGGGGGCCGTTCCGTCACCTCTTGGCAGTCTGACGGTATTTCGGTACTGAAAAGATGGCTGTTAATGCACTGTAGTGAGGGCTTGGAGCAACTTAAAATGGTTTGGAGTGAATTTGTGCTTTTAATGGTATTTTTCTCTCTGGAAATCAGCAAGATCACGGAGAGGGAAGGACATCGCTGGCTCCAAACCCTGGTGGATGTGGTGCCCCTCTCCTGGGTGACTACTGCTCTTCCCTTCCGAACAGGCTGAACTGGTGAACTGGTGCTGGGGATGCTGGTGGTTACAGGTTATTTAAGATATGGGATTCCACATCTTGACACCTCCTGCCCCTCCGTATGTGCCAACCCTCATTCCCTGCGCTGCGCAGGGCTATTCCTTAGGCTCCCAGCTAAGGCCATTCCACTTCTGAGAAAATAATGTGGAATTTCGTGGCGGGGGGAGGGGGCAGGAGCCACTGCAGGGATTTGGGCTTGAGGGGCTGCCTGGGACCTGCCACTGAGTTCGGGGGAAGGAACGGGAGATTTATCATTTGCTACTGCTTCAGTTGTAAAACATCATTAAACAACTTTTTTTTTTTCATCTTTTTTCCCGGAGAGAGAGATAAATAACTCTAGAAAAAAAATGGCTTTGAGACATTTACCTCTGGGCATGAAAAAGTAGTGATGTTACATATTCTGCCCTGCAGGAGGGAGAACGGGAAGAGGCTTTTCGGGCACACTCGCTGGTACCGGCCCTCACCACAGTCCTGCTCAATCAGAATTCATCATTAACAATCTTCAGCATTCCCTCACACCCTTAAAAAAGTAGATTATTAATAATTTTGGCTGCTGTTTTAGTACTTTTAGTGTAGTTTAGCTTTATACTCTCACGGATCAATTTGATGAATGATACAAGCTGCAGTTATGTATAATTCTGAACGTGCTTTTTCAGATAGAAGCGGGTGCCAGAACAAGAAAATCGGAATGATTCCGTTCCCGTCTTACCTGAAGAGCTCTGAAGGTTCCCAGCGCCCCGGGCTCTGACGCCCAGCCTGTGCGCCGCAACAGGTCTGCCCAAACCAAACTCACGATGACTTTGAAACCACTGTTTCTCTCTATTTTCTCAGTGTTCACTGGAGCAGGAACGCCCAAAGCACCGCTTGGATCCAGCGATGCGCTC